GGCGCCACAATCAACTCAGTCTAGTCTTTGAAAAGCAGAAACGCCTCCAATTTTTGAATATGCAACACGCACATTTAATCTACTTTTAGCGAGTTTTCTGTAAGTTGGTAGTAGTAGCAGTAGAGGTTTATTTTTGGGAGGTGCTTTAACATCGTAGGCCGTGTAAAATATATGTTATTTTACAATAGTCAAAGTATGACTTTGTGCAAATTTCTACGGTTAGAGATATGGTACCGACGGATACCATTTTATTTAACGGTATACCGAGGAATAATCACCTCGTAAGTTTTATAACCGTAAGAGAAACTGCTTTAGTTCCAAAATGTCACACCAGCGTAAAAAATTTCATGTGGACCTGGAATTTGATTTAGTCCCAAAATTTCCCAAAACAGCATATTATAAAATGTTGCTTCGTCAAAAAGTTGTAGAACCGAAAGACCTAGAATTTGATTTAGCCCCAAAATCTCCCCGAACCGCACTTAAAATTTTGCTTCGTCAAAAAGTGGTAGAGCCAAAACTCCACGGGAGGCTCCGAGGCATCGCATATCTGTCATGCTGTTAATTTATCGCTCGTTTATTGGCTCAAATGATGACGCTCAAAACTCAAACAAATAAAATGCGTGTCTGACTCGTGAGATGGTTTACACTCTCGTGTTAATCTCATTCCGGGAAACTAGTCCGATTTACTTTGCTCGCCGCCAATATCTTGCTGTAGTCAAATTTTGGAACTCTTGAGTGCTCAAATACGAAGTTGATTATTTTTCTTTTCAAGTTGGCAAGAATGTGGGTATTTGCTCATCAAGTTAGGGAGCGCTAATTCTATTTGATACTTGACAGTGATGACGCGTTAATTAAATGTCTTACCTGAAGAACATAGCAAGTATTGTGGAATCTCTATGGTGCTTACGTGCTTATGTGCTTGAACCAGGTGTAAAATCTGGAGTTGCGGGCGGGCCTTACTTCCGATTAGTCAAATCCTTGCACCCCAAGAAAGCTGGGAACATCCTTTTTGTTTCTCAAAGAACAAACTGACTCATTATTCTTCGACTTAACTGCAGGTTCCTTACTCATTCGTAAATTACATGCCCACACCATTCAAATTTGGGAGGAGGGGCATCAGTTTACACTTTTTCAACCTTCTCCACCCACTGTGCTCTTTATCAGATGCGGCAAAGTACCTAAAACCCCCATCGCCCCCCCCCCTCCAAAAAAAAAAAAATTTGCTCCGCTCCTCCCAATATATATGTGAGGGAGTTTGCTGAATGAAAGTGTGACATATTTTTCACCATTGAAATCTAATTTGATCAATTGGTGCAAAAATAGCTTAAAAATACACAATTTTACAACATTTTCTGATGAGGTCCTTTGAATTCCTTTAACGCGACGGAAATCCCTCAATCCCTTCTGGAATTGAAGGAGTCCCACCAATCGTCCTTAACGGAGTGTTTTCAGTGTCCCTTAAATCCCTATTGACACGACACGGTGTCTGTCTGCCCCCCTCCCCCCACACAAAGTTCCTGATTCCACCCATGACGATCCCTGCTTAAACCTGGATCCAACCTGAAAATAAGAAGTAAACAATTCTGAAAATATGAAAGTTAATTTGCAACATCGCTGATTCTAGGTGGCGGTAGCCACCCTGGCCCAATCCTAAAAAACTCCCCCTAAAAAGTTGACGACCAAAAAAAAAAATAAATAGATAAATAAAAATAAAAAAAAGTTAAAGATCGTAATACACGCGTCTCTATTATTGCAAAATGGTATCAGAAAACTTTGAAAATGTTAGAATACGATACAATTGACTTGACGAAATACTGAAGTCCACGATATTTCGTATGTTACTCCTAGACATAATCACTTAGGAAACCAGAATAGCAGATCCTGAACTTGAAAGTTAAGGTAAGAAGGTAGGTCAAGGTCGGGCATAGACATTAACGATGCAGCGCGTGACCTGAGTATCGCACGAGTCAGGACTCAACCCGTGACTATTTTGTTAAGAAGCTTCGATCAGATCGTATTCAAATTATGTATCGTGCACGCCCACACAAAACGCTCGAGTCAAGAGATTAAAAATATTTTGTGTAGCGTTAACGCCAGGAGGATCTACAAGCGATCTACAAGCGAGGGAAAGGCTATCGAGCCAAACTATTCAAGAAGTTGGAACTACATTATACTTTTACCAACGATGCAAATAAAAGATAGTATATAGTAAATAGATAATTAAAAATAATGTTAGCGGTTACGAAGTACGGTAGAAATACAGAGATACGTGCTTTTGAAACTAAGGGCTGACATCCGGGACGGAGGTACGTGTTTTCAGCATTAGCAACACTGGACAAAAAAAACACATTGGATCTAGAGTCCATAGGCTCTTGAAAACATTGACAAGAAAAAGGACTCTTGATTCAATCAGATTTAAGCTTAAATCAAAAGGTAATCCGCTCAAATTAGAGGCTTGGTTCTTGATTTAAGCAAAAATCCGATTGAATCAAGAGTATTTTTTCTTGTCGATGTTTTAAGAGTCTGGACTCTATATCCAATGTGTTTTTTTCCCCGTGAATTTTAAAACTGTTTCTTTTTTTTAAACCATAATTACAGTACAAACGGTGAATAAAACATAATTAATTGATCTATTTCGTGTTCCTGTAGTCACAAGGTATGATGCGCCATCGCTTTAGCACGTATGCAACTTTTGATTCTCGTCCGCTCTATACTCGTCTCTGTAATCAAAAGCAAGTTAGTTGCGGCGCAGCTGGCGTAGCTACCCATAAGTTTAAATTGGTAGAAACTAACAATAAAGTGAAATATTAAACAACCAGTGGACTCTTACTTGCATTCAAATTATTATTCAATGATATTTTACCCCCAGGGTTTTGAAACGGGATTGGAATTCCGGGTGGTTAAAAAAGGGCTTCCGAGGTTAGAGGAGAGGAAATAGAGGCAGCTGGAGGATCTACAAGGGGAGGAGGTAGGTATAATAAGTAGCGATGAGTTGAAGGTGAAAACCGGTAATAGGTAGTCAAAACCGGAAATAGGAAGGAAAAACCGGAAGCGGATGGTGAAACCCAGAAATGAAATAATGAATAAGACGCGTTCACTCGTGTTGAACACATGTTTTGGGAATGCCCGGTCAACACTACTAGCAAAAGTTAAGTTTCGTAAACCTATCTCTGTGTGGACAAGGCCTTTCATTCATAAGAAATGAACAAAAAAATTATGAAAGAACAAACATGAATGATTTTAACTTCCGCCGCCGCACCGCGCAGACGCGTTGTTTGGCACAATGCGTGAAGTATTCACGCAGTCTTGTAGGCGTCATACGTCTTGCGCTGACCGCACTATGTTTGGCGCAATGCGTGAAGTATTCATGCATTCTTGTAGGCGCTATCCGTTTCACGCTGGACCGCAATGACCGCACTGTGTTTGATGCAATGCGTGAAATATTCGTGCAGTCTTGTAGGCGCTAATATGTATTACATGCCGATCGCCGCGCCGAGGGCTTCTCCTTTTCATCATTGCTCTCTGCGCCGCGCCGTTCCAGGCCAAATTGCGTGTTTGGTTTCTCTCTTAACTCGACTACTTGAAGATGCTGTCTCTTGGTATCACTGAAAGACGACAAAATTAAAAATTACTATACTCTCAGGAAATGAAACATTTTGTCGCCTTTTCTCGTTGTATTTTTTTTTTCTAATTCCGATATTTTTTATACCTACATTTAAAAAAATTGCAAAATTTGCCGCCCTCTAGATTTGCCGACATGGATCGCGGCTCATGTGGCCACCCCCTTAATCCGGCCCTGATTTTTTACGTTCCTTTGACCTCGCCGCATGGTTACTTCACAGATAACATGAATTTAAAAGGAAACACATTGAATGTCTCAGATTAAATAAAACGCCCGAGTTGCGACAACAACACAAATGAAAAACAGCTGATGAATAAGTTTCAATTCAGTTCTGTGGCGACAGAGCCCGCGTGGACGCACGAGTAGTTGCATAGCCCGCAAAAAAAGGCGCCGAGTAAGAGGTTTGGAGACAGGTAAACGTTTTTAAAACGAAGCGGGAGATACGTGTTAACATTTTTCGCCGTTTTTAAGGTGACTTCCCGACTCTTGTTGCGCGTAATTTCCCTTAAAGGCAATAACAAAATATATCCTCTGATATACCTTTATGCAGCTAACTCAAAATCGACAAAAATGAAGGTACGTGTTTTTGATCTATCACCCGCGATTTGAAAAAGCTGACGAGAGGTTGAGGGATACAGACCTTTCCAGGCACGCGGATGATCGTGAGGGCGTTTCCCAAAAATGTTTGAAGATTAAAACCCTCAGCTTATAATTAACGAATAATAACGAATTTCGATCACGATTTTAAAAAAGGTGATCTTCTGAACGGAAAGAGATGAGTGTGCAAATGAAACCCGTGGAAAATCACTTGTAAGTCACGCGCTCAGCTTTAAAGCAAGCCCGGGTTTTAAGAATCAGTCAAGGGGTTCACGAAAAAAATTAATTTTATCGAGGGGGATTCCCTCAGCCACGTGACCAAGGTTTCCCAGTTCTTTCTCCAAATGCAAAGGTGTTGAATGTATTTTGATTCTAGTACTGACACAAGAACAAGGAAATAAAAATCGGGCAAAAATTTAAATGTGTAGGTATTGCATGCGACTCACGTGTGATCCAATGCTATCTGAGTATTCTGACAGTGACAGCGGAATCTTTCGCCGCTCTTCGAAAAATAAACGGTCGAGGAATCTCAACTCTCATAGAAATGAACCTAATCCAACCACAGCTTCCTAAACTTGATCTGGATTTCGATAAAACTGCATTAAGCCATCGAATCTCTCAGCCTTCCAAATAAATTACGAAAGTCTAATGCGGCAGAAGAGTGCAAGAGCGCATTTTCAAACGAGCGCGCGTTGTTTTGAAATGAAGACGGATGTTGAGTTCGGTGAATCAACAGGTTGTCCTCAACGGTGTAGCATCGGTGATGTCAACGACCAGCAAATCTGTCCGCTAATTGCTCGAAAAAACGAAAATAGACGACGAGAGGAGATAAGTGAGCAAAAAAGAGAAAAAAGCGACACAAGAGAGGAAAAATTAGGCTAATATCAAGTTGATATTGAAGGAATAATGGCTGTCTACTATTTTTATGTGTGAATAATGCTGTGTAGTTACAATGGCTTTTCTGTGTCCAGTGAGAATACGCCGAGGAAAGAAAAAGAAAAGTAAGTTATATCTGTTGTTTTACTTGTTTTCATTCATTCTCTTGGCTGTTCTCCTGATTTGCCAAAAGCATAGCATCCATTGAAATTTTCATTTTCATCCGCTGACACTTGATCTTATCATTATATATTTCTGAATACTTCAGCAAATAATTCTGCCAAGCTTTCAAAGTTGATTTAGTTACTCAAGAATTCTTTAAAGCTTTCAGGGATTAATTATATTGGAATCCTATGCTCCATCCTCCTTGAGCATCCACTATTTGTTTATACTTGCAGGTTCAAAACACTTGTTGATAACATTCCATGTCTAGTCCAACAAACTTCAAATTTGAAAGGCATGCTCCAGTGTACACTATCTCTATTGCTGGGTTTTCATTCCTAATTCACTAAATAATAGAAAGAATGCTCACAACACTCTTCAGTGGTTGATTTCCCAATTTTGGTCAATGCCCGTAGTATCTTTACAATCAAGGTTTTTCAAGAACTGCCAGTTTTTATTTATGTTCGGCTCATCGCCAGGTTTTGTCAATTGCTACCAATTGAAACTGCCTTCATGATCTTCCAAAATACTGCCTGAACGCATTTATATGCTCTTCAACATCCAACCCTTTAATTTACATATGCCAAAACGAGAGCAAGTACTAACGTCAGTGCTCCTTAGACTCTTAAAGTTTCTTGCATGGTCTTGTTTTTATAAGTACTGGAAACTAAGCTCCTTGATTGCTCACTGCAGATTTATATACTTTAGTCTAGCCATGATAGAGCAAAAATTCATCACATTCATTTCCCGGTTAACAAAATGACTGCAATATTTCGAAGAAAACTGACTTTTTACTGTTGAAAATAGAGTCTCAAAGCATAAATGCATTTAGTCTACGTATATCCGCTAGTGTATTTGCACCTAAGATAGCAATGACAAATTTTGATGTTTGTTCTGCTTTACATGAATTGAACTCTGTTTACTTCTACTCTGATTTATGTATAAACAATATTTCACAGGAACTTGACAGAATCGTCGCACATAATCATCTATTGAGATAAATAATTAAGTACTTATCTATATTTAGTGTTTAATTGACATTGATGTGAAACATAACAGTATCAGCACTTGTAGGATTTTGTCGAAGATAGAGCAGGCTGCATTGTCTGAAGAATAGTTTTCACTGATCATGAATATGTAAACAGTCCCACAAATTCGTAGTTTACATTCAATCCTTTGCATTGGTCATTTTGGAAGGTAAAGTTATAAGAGAAGAAGGGCATCAGCAGAAGAGTCTTCCTGATAGAGTTATCGAGCTGCTGCTTTTTTGGGTGGCCATATCATAAGCAAATGTTCATTATAATGTTTATCATTTGTTTCAGGTTTGAGTGGAGATCTAGACAAAGATGTTCGCGGAGGCGGGGTGGCTGCCATGGGCCGAATTACTGGCAGCTCATCAATTGAAACTCTAGTACGTGTAGGAATAGAAAAAGAGAATGGGCTCTCGCCTGATAGCAAAATGGTTGTCTTGCACGACTTCACACCTTGTGTCGATGATGAACTGCAAGTAAAGCGAGGACAGGTGAGTGGTGGTTTGCTCACGTTGCTCTTCCCTGTTTTTCGTAATCTGTGGAGATAAGCTCTATCGTAATAATCAGATGAAAGGAAATTAATCAGTTGAACGTACAAATTACTTTTAAAGAAATCATATCATGGCAGAAGGGAATGGTAAACATAAAATTTAAAAACAAATTTTTTTCTTGTACGTCTCAAGTCTTTTCGGTTCAGTATGCTTTGTACAACTGATTTTTAAGGAGGTTCAATTTTTCATACAACTCCATCTAAGGTTTAGACTTATTCCTGACAATGAAAAAAAAATGACCTTCAGTTTTGGCAGGATTGGTGCAGAGCCACTGAGTTATATAATTTTAAGACGAATCGCATCTGAAGCTTGTCTTTAGGTCGAAACAAGTAAAGGACTTACAATTGTTGATGTCTCATTGGTCCTAAAATCATTCTTTCCCACCCTAACATAGGTAATGAGGCCATTACACTTTTATTACTATGACTGATACAAAGAAAGTTGGATTTAGTGAAAAAACAAACTCATCATGTAGGCTATTGAAAAACTATAATAAGATAAAGAAGTGATGGAAAAATAAAAAATATCTTATTATGTAGCAGAATAATTTTTTGCTCCATTATTGTTAAATAAAAGTTAATCGTTCTGTTTTCCATTCCTTAGGTTGTGAATGTGCTGTATCGAGAAAATGATTGGGTGTATGTTATAGCAGCTGATAATCGACAAGAAGGTTTCATACCACATTCATATTGTACACCGTACAACTCTCATTTAGCAGAGCTAGCATTAAGTAATGTCAAGAAAAAATTGCCACGAGAACAACGTAACAGCACAGATGTTGAGGTAAATTAAATCATAAGATCATTAATCTGAACTGAATTCTCTTATTTCAACGGACAATAACTGTTGTTACAGGGTAATGGAGGTGTATCTCCTTTTAAAATATGTATATTGCTCAATCATCATTGTGTGTTGAAACTCATTCCAAAAGAATGGGAAACATTTCTAATTTTTGCAAATTTGTATTGTTTGGTAGTCCTATTTAAGCACACATTATATCAGAGAAGCTAATTCTAGCATAATGTTATGAAAGAACTTTTTGACAGTAATTTTCTGTGCGCTATGAAATGACCATCTTAAATGTCTTCTTACGAAGTAGAATTTCTTGAGAGAGTGCTGGAAAAACAAATGGAAGAATTGCTTATTATCTTTTCCTCGATTACCACGTCACCAGTGGCAAGGCATGCTTTGCGCTCTATAGATTAATCTATCATCCCAACCTATAGAAAAGGATCACTACACAGGTTGTTTGCAACGAACACCCTAATAATCAACTGCTTACCATAGCTTCAAATGAGGAGATATCGATAATCAACCATTTACGCCTTGCCACTGCCAGTCGTTTTACTTCTGCTCAACTTTTAGCGTGCATAATGGTGGTGGTGGTGGTGGGTTTTAATTATTTTTTTCTTATTTTTGATTTTCCATGAACCTTTTTAAAAGTTCATAGCTGCGACTTAAAACTCACTTGTGTTGCTAACATAGGTATCTGAATTCTCTAATTTATTTATTTATTTTTTTTCCTCCTAAATTTTTAGTCGATGAAATTGCAACTAGGTACAACCAATTTGACTCTATTAGTATTAATTTAAATTTTTCCTCCCAAAAAATCAGGTGGACATCAATCCAGATCCTCGTGCAGCAGGAGATGTATCTGATTGTGATAGCTATGGGAAAAAAGCAACAAATGTGTCAAACCCGCAGCAGCTGAATATGACAAGCTCCCAGGCATCTCTGCACAGTGCATCTTCATCTCAACCTGATGTACATCCATTTTTCAAGGTACCTACTTCAAAACCTAGCTTTTCATTCTATTCAAGACTTTCATCAATCGGATCAAGTTTATCCAAAAGGAGTCAAGTTTTTTGGGAAACAAGGTCTGCTTGTTGTAGAGTTACATAGTTTTATCGCTCATAAAAAAGGTTTTGTTTCATTTATTTTTAAGTGTCAAAGTTATTGAACGAAGCTTTATTTTTATTTTTTTTTTTTTTAATAAATTGGTCCCCCATCTCCTGAATGCAAAATGAACCGAATCAAGTCAGAGTAATGAATCAATGCAAATTGGTTCCCTTTCTAATTTTCTATTGATGAATCAATTCAGAGAAAGGAACCAACTACATAGTGATGCTTGTGGAGATCTTTCAAGCAACTAACAATCAGATCTCTCATTTGCCAAAAACTTTGTCACTTCTTGACGAACTGAATCCAATTTACACAACTCCATTTTACCAATTCAGAAGCACCCATCAGTGGGAACACTGAATTTCCTTTTGTAATGATTTGACTGCCAAACAGTGTCTTTCAGTGACCCAGAGCTTAATTTTTTATTTTCCTTCCTTTGAAAGAATGAGATCATTGTCTGTGTAATATTTAAAAACTTTCAAGTTGATATATTACTTGAGAAGTGGCCTCTCTAAATTTTAAAATGTGTCGCCATTTACCAAGATCGAATGTCCATCTTGTGAAATCATAATTTAATTAGATTTTAATTCATTAATTGTTTCTAACTCTTCTCAAGTATCAATTTTCTCTAGTATTACCAATTCCTAATATTATCAAAAAAAAATTTAAGCTGCTCCACAACATATGAATCAGTCAATATTCAATCAAGAAACTGAACGTCTTTTAGCTTGTCATCTTATCTTTTGAAATTTTCTCCTATATTTTCATCCTACGTTTTGATTTATTTCAGGATCCGTCAGGTCGATTTATTGTTTTATACACATTTATAGCAAGAGACGAAAATGACGTAAGTGTAGAGCGCGGTGAGTTTGTAACTGTCCTAAACCGTGAAGATCCAGACTGGTACTGGATTGTGCGGAGTGACAATCAAGAGGGATTTGTTCCATCTGGGTTTGTCTACCCAGCAGATGTGATACAAGGTATTTCCACGATAACCTCTTCTTTACTTAACTTGTCCGTATCCATTTTAAAAATGTTTAAGCTATTCCACAATATATGAACCTGTCAATATTCAAGCAAGAAACTGAATGTCTCATTTTGGTTTATCCTTTTCGTATTGACGCAGGTGACTTTATGTCTTTATAAAAGAAAAACTTCTGCTCAAAAGAAATTTTTGAACCAGTAACTGGTAGGCCTCCAATGGGCCTATTGCAAACTTTTGCTAGAGCAAAAATAAGAGTTGTTACTCATAGAAAGTGTCTCAAAAATCACGATGAGCGTATCGGCAAAGTCTTAAATGCACTCCTTACTTCACAATTTTCAAAAGAAATTTGTGTTTTTTCGAGCCTTACAAAAACGATACCATGGCACAGGTGAACATTTCCTTAGAGGAGTCATTCCACCCAACCCCTGCTCATAAGAATACCACGCAATATTTAACATAGCCGACACCAATCCGCCGAAACCCATTTAAAGGGACGATGATTCGAACCACCTGATACCAGTCTGTGTGTTTATATTCACATTTTTCTCGCATTGATAGATATCCGCCTTGATTGACCTCGTGCTCTCCTCAACTTGCGCGTGAAAGCGTCGGCCATGTTGAGCAGGGATTGAATGGACCGACTCCTCTAACGAAATGTTTACCTGTGTTGTAATATCCTTTTTGAAGCGGGAAGCTTAAAAGAACGCAAATTTCTCACGCAGAATGTGAAGTTAGGAGTGCTTTTCAGACATTATTTATAAGAGACAACTCTTATTTTTGTTCTAGCAAAAGTTTGCAACACGCCCATTACTTCTTTTGTTCATCATATATATTGTTGCTTGAAAATAGTGGTCACTGTTTTGTATCCATCTATCAACTCAGTGTGTTAATTTATTTCTCTCCTCTCCTTCCCTTCTTTAAAAATATGTTTTCCTGAAATTAAAGCTAATTTGGATTGAAACACTCAATGAAAACATGAGCCTTAGAAATTTTGTTTTTATTTTTATTTTAAGCTTGTTTAATTTGAGTCATAACTGAACTGTTTCCACTCTCTTAACAAATAGGCTTTCAATAAAATCTTACTTGTTAGACTTTTCCCTCCTCAATACATGGACCTCTATTGCATTCACGTTTTTACTTAATCATAGCGTCTACCATATGTCTGCCTACATACCAGAAGAAAATGTAAAGTGCATATGCAATTATTTATGTTCACAGGGCACCTAAATCAAATGAATAGCAATAATAATCAACCCATGACTGGAAATTCTACTAATCATACAGCAACCAGTTGCGTCGTTAACAACACATCGCATCATCTTGGCACGGCTCAAAATGAAGACTTACGTTATCATGGCACAGAGCTTGTCATGTTGTATGATTACAAAGTATGTATCTAAATTTTTATCCCCTTAAAACTTACAGGTTCTCGCATCTTAAAAAAATTTCTTGGAAATAATTGAAGGAAATATTTCATAACTCACTGAAATAAATTTCTGCCGGGTGCTCCTTCATCTTTTTTCCTCCCTATTAAAACTCTCCTGAAACATTCAATTTCACATGAATGATTTTCAAAATAAAATTGAAATTTCCCACCGCAAAACAAAAATTAATGAATCCACCCAGAAATCAACCTAAAGTTGACAAAGCAACTAACAACATACCTAAATAACCGAGGGCGGAAGCTTCAACAGAAGTCACAGCTCGATCATCGCTGCAGACCCTCTGGTTTGAAGTGTTCCTTTGATGGTGCAGATCACAAGAGTTGTATAAAAATGCAAATCTAATGAGAAGTGTGGCATTCAGCACGCAATGTGTACATACATATAAGCCGCTTTCATAACACTCGTTGGCGCTCTGCAACACCCAGCCTTCAAAGTCCCTTATCCTCCCAAAGCCCTTCAGGGAGTTGATACTCCCTCATTTCCTCTAAAAACCCCTGTTGCCACCCTTTCACTGGGCAACGTCCCCTTCGTCTCCTCCTAGGAGGAACCCAATCAAGCATCTTCTGGGGCAACCTTTCTTCCATCATCCTGTCAACATGACCATAACCTAAGCTGTTTCATCATGACGTCGAATATAATGTCATTTTTGAGTCCTGTGATCTAACGCACTCTCTCTTTGCAGACCCGATCTTTTCTAGAAATTCCAGCCGACCTTCTCCAGAAATCCATCTCTGTTGCTCTTAGCATAACCCGTATCCATTTTTTCAGCTGCCAAACTTCGCAATATACACCCTCAATATGTAGTAGTAAGTATGTACGCAATATGGTAAAATAGTGCTGGGTCCTCATCATTTCGCAAGAAAATCAAGGGCCAAAAAGTTCACAAATTTCAATTAAAGTCAACAATTTTTGAGTTTCGCACTGAAACTCGTTAGATCTCAAAAATTGTGGACTCCAATCGAAATTTGTGACCTTTTAGGCCTTGCTTTCTCTGCGAAATAGTGTGGACCTAGCATTATTTTAGCACCTTGTTACTTACAGTTTGGACCACATTTTCTAGTGTTTTTTCTTGTATGTATTCAAGTTTAGGAGCTATCATTTTGAAAGAGCCCTACATGACTTTCTCTACTTTAATTTTTACCATTTAGTCTGATTTCTGTAATCCTTTAAAATTTCAGGCTCAAGCTCCAGATGATCTCTCTGTCCGTCGGGGAGACTGGATCTACGCTGATCTCGCCAACCAAACGGTTGATGGCTGGCTTTGGGCCTATGCTCCGAAGACACGCAAATATGGCTTCATCCCCAAAGCTTATGCACGACCCCCAGCCATGACCAGTCTCTGATTCTTGTCCTGAGGTTGTATAGAAGTATTTTGTAATTAATAGTACGTAAGTTTCATTGGATTTTGTATTTGTTATTTTAAATAACGAAGGTGTAATTTTGAAATCAGAACTTTAACTTGCAAGAGCATTAATCAATCCTTTAATGTCCAGAAAAATGAGCCTCGTCATTACTTGTTAAAAACGAATGTTAATGATTGAAAGATTTTACCTCCTCTCGGTAAGTGTCTGGATATATGTACAGAATTTTTATCCAATTTTTCAAGAAACCTTGATTTTTTTAAAATTTCATGAGGTATTTAAAAATGTTAAATTTTTATCCAATGGTACAACAAAATTTCAAGCTCTGAAGTTTCTGAACAAAATTTTGAGCTCTGATAGTGGTTTATTTTTATGTCATGAAGTAAAAACTTGCCACGCCCCAATATAAGTGAGAGTTCTGATACTGTTCTATAGCTTTAAACATTTTTGACATTTTTCTTTTTGCATCTTCTTTCAAATCATTCCATCTGCTCAATCACTTATCTTTCTTTCTTCTGCACGTCTTTCTCCCCACAGGACTTCAAAGTACCTGGATTCGTTGAATTCCTGTGTTTATGTACTTTTAAATGAAACACCCGAAAAATGCCAAAAACAAATTTGGAATAGCAATGGCAGAAGTTAGGTAATTAATATTCCGTTTTGCAATTTTTTTTCTTATTATTATTATTACTTATTCATTTAACTGGAACATCCAAGAGTAGATCTAACAGAAAATGAGTGTTAAAAATTGCACAGATTGTCATACCCGAAGTTGTTTAGTTCCTTTATTTTCCCCAATTATACTCTTTATGCTAATTCAAAGTAGTTGGAGATGGATGCGTGATGAGTACCATCTAGTTTTCAAGTTCATCTTCAAAAGTTTTTTTTTTCTTATCTTTTCTTGGTGTTGAAATGATGGATTGATTTGAGTCCTTCTTGTACATTCCATGAATTTTCAGTTTTTTGCTGCTTTACTTTTACCTTCTGTCAGGTAGTGGTAATTACTTCCTGTAACTTTCAGACATTGTGTGCCATTCGTAGAGTGTCATGATCGGAAAATATGTGCCCTTGCACGTACAAACTCTGTCTTGCTCACATTTTTTCTATAAATTTTTTATTTTAAAGGGATGATTATCTTATTTATGGTGAACCATCATTTGAAATGAGAATGCAACAATCAGTATGTATTGAGAACGAATTCTGAAAGTGCCACAAATGCGCACACATCACTAAACTGCAGTGAGTGCAGAATAGAATGTAGACCGGCAGTGTGATATGCCATCTTGTTTTAAATTTCATTTTCAACCTGAAATAAGCTCTTCAAGACTCCTATTCTTGGTGTATACTTTTTTTGGCCAGTGTCAGGGTCATATACATCAGGCATTGGCATATTTTCTCTTCTGATGTCATAATTTTAAGACAACGGATTCTTAAAGTGTCAATAAGACTCTTGTAGTTATTAGCATGGCCATAATATATTCAAATCAAATGTATTTTCCTAGTTTTATTAATTTTTGTGTGCCTCAGTGCAATATCTTTCTGTAGTAAACATAGGTATGAAACTTGATCACACGTACCTCTAGTCATTTAATTAACTCATTGTCAGTAATTTAAACCTGCCATTAATTTCAAAAGGACAGATGTCTTTCTACAAATACTGAAACCGGTCTCTTTTTTCTTTAATTTTACACAAAGCATCACTTGTGATAATTTTTAGAGTATCACTTTTTGTGGAACGTAAGTCCTCTCAATGTAAATGTGATATGTATTTTAAACTGGATACTTTCAACATATTTTATTTGTTCTGAGTTTTTAAGCACTTAGGGGTTCCCAATGAAAGGGTTTTGATAACTGAGTTTTAATCAGTCCAGAATTTATCTCACTGGAAATATTAACAAAGGTTCTCCTTGTAGTTTTAAAAAAGAAACCTTGACTGAATACTTAAATTATTACTCAGGCACTATACTTTTATATTTTACAAGTTTATAATCAGTCAGGTTTTAGTAATTTAATCTTATTTAATCTCTGAAAGACTGACCAAGGGAATTATGTATTTTTTAACTGAATCAAGAGTTCATAAAGACTAATTTAAATTTTCTTCCAATTTAGTCCAAAAGTTCAATACGTATCAGTTTAACCTAGTAAGGTTCTGTCATAAGAATTGTCTGCCGCCATGAGCTATTGAACCTCCTACGAAGACCCTTAATCAGCATCTGTTTTCTCAGACTCAATTTTTTCTGATGTTCATAAATGGTGATCTTAATTCAAACATCTGAGAAATATAGACTCCTCCTGTTCGATTCTGCTGATTCTATTTATCATAGAAAGAGCTGAAAAGTCTCGTGTGTGTACACATACAGTTTTTTTAAACTTTTTCAATGTTTAATGTTTCGAACTTTCTGATCCTTACTCCCTCCTACTCGATCATATGTCTGTTTTTGCTCAAAAATGGGGTACTAAACACTTTTGTAGGAGAGAGGAGCCTGTTTTTGGTGACTGCAGACCCATGCTTCAATACTCGATGAATTATCATATTTTTTTCGAATTTGGAAGGTGAATGAAAAATGATAACTATGGGTCATGTCCACAGTTGTTTCTTAAAAACTATTTTCTTTGGGATGCTCCATATGGCTTACATTGTGATTAAGGCAGGTTCAAGGACATTGTTAACATAGATCATAAACTGGAAAATTTTAAAGAATTTAAGTAAAATTCAAGTGTTCAACTACGAAAATAGATCCTTTCAAAGGATTACAATGCCTTGTCCCTCTAAAAAATTTAAAGTACAAAAGAACAGATCCTGTAAGTTTTTAAAATTTTGAGGTAGGCTCGTACCTACCTTAAAGTTCGTCAAACTTGTGGAAATTTTTCGCTCATACTTTTTATTTTTTGCAGTGGCAAATGAATGTAAGCCATTGTCAGGAGCTATTACCATGATTAGAATGTTTATTTTACTTAAATTCTGCTAAAATTGTTCTTTGTATAACGCTGTATCGAGGATTTTCTTAATTCTCCTCTAATGACAGTTTAACCCACAAGGAGCTCTCTAAGGTAAAAGAAACGCTTATGAATATAGCCCTAAGCTGACATTGTGATCCCATTCCAAATTCTAGAGGATTTGACAGTCAATCATGCCATCAAATCACCGAAAAGTCCACATATTTTGTTGCTCAAAGTTTATAGTTTATTTTTTTATGCTCATTAGTTGTTTACAAATTTAAGTGCCAAAATCCCCACTCAATTCATTTTATAAAGAAGTGTCATTGATTAATAACAAAGGAAAAGCATAGGCTTATTTCTTTTCCCTCTGCCAACAGAATCTTGGAAGTTTGTCTTTGTTGACGAGACACGTTAAGACTGAGCTGTGATGAAGTTATGTCATCGGTTTGTTAGACCATATTATTATATTAATTTATTTTATAAGCAAAAATAAGGTTAAAAAGAACCCATCAAATAAAAAGAATCAAAGAACAACTAACTCAGTTTTGGCTGGGGACCAAACCATTATCAGTCAGTGAATCAAAAATAGGAACCGGAAAGTAGGTACACACTTATATGCTTTTTTTCTAGTCCAGATCCAAGCTAAAAATATAGTTTCCGTTTTTCATTTTTCATTTTGCCTATCTTCTTTTTATTTCACCATGTGATAGTAGCTCGGGCACCAGTCGATTACTGCATGAAAATCTCTAAGCAGAGAAAGGTTCAACAAAATCACGATCCGATTTAACCAGCCAATGACATAACCTCATTCCACCTTTCTTTTAGCCTGTCCCATCAACAGGGAAAAATTTCAACAATTAGCATGCTGCTATTCTTAAATTTTCTTTTGTAATTATGTGAATAAAGATAACATGGTAACAAATAATCCAAACTAGAATTAGGTTTACATCTCGATCAGAAATCACTCCTCTTCTTGTGTAAATAAGTGTCTCTTTCCCTCTCTTGTACAAGCTTTTCTAATCTTTGTTATTTTAAGTTGACTTTTCGCAGATCTTCAGTTTATGTTCTTCAGATAACAGTGGTCCAATCCCAGTTCCTTAATTAGAGTTCTTCCCCCTTCAGCTATGAAGTTTTCTTTGCAACTTAAAACTAGTGATTGTTGTCTTAATATTTGACACTTCCATCGATTTGATGTAATTATTTTCCTATGGCTAAAAATCTGTAACTATTTTATTGTTTTAACGGATGTTATCCGACCTTTGGTGATATTAACATAGTGTTGTATGCTTCAAACTGCGGCGACTAACGAGAGTAACCGTTTGTGGCACTAACAAGAACCACATTTTTCTACCTATATGCGTTTGAAATCGTGAATCTTCATAACTTTTTGCCAAGTAATACATATTTCTCTGTCTTTGAACTGAATGATTCATGCACGGTCAAGGAAAATTCGACCATATTCTTCGCTCAGTGATCAAAATCCCACCTGACATTAGCTCCAAACTCCAAGTAACAGATTATTAACAACCTTAAAATAATTTGAGTTTCTATTAAATCAGAACTACTGAGTTCTTTCATCAATGGAAAAAACTATGGCATGGAAAACTGAACAAAGTTTAACAGAAAAGAGCCATGTCGTATCAATGAAGGTCAAACCGAAGAGTAGAAGTCTTAAGTTATACTTTTCCATAAGTCTCAATGTTAGAGATAAAGTTTAAAAGCTATTTTTAAGTTTCAAATATGTTTGCTTGACTTTGAATTTTTGACTGGATAATATGTATGCCTGGTTGAGTTCAAAACCACTCCAAATTTTTTGTCAACATGTGAATAAGTTCCACTTTGTTTTAATGCGTCCAACTCTGTTTAGCCACCGAGTTCACTTTTTTGGATTTAAAATCCTTCAACGCAAAGCTCTCTGCATTATATGTTTAATCGATTAAAATCAGAGTTGGTTTTTTGTCAAAAAATTCAGGCAACATTATAAGCGTGAAGTTCGGAACAGCAAATAATATTTTCACTTACATGGCGACTGATACAATCATCATAAAAGTTTTTTAGATTTTTATGTTACAACCAGTGGGCTTATTTGTAAGCTACTGTGTTTCTAATTCTTGAGAAACTCACATCATTGTTTGTTGTAATTCAATCAGTGGAAATTGATACTGCCATTTTTCACCAATGACTTTTAACTATCATGAAGGAGTTGCCATTGATATCGTTTTTATTGAAATGACCTCCTGTCCCAAACCCACCCTTTAGTGTACTGGCGAATGATATGAAAGTTTCGCAATTTTTTCCTGAGTATCAGCAATGCTTGAAGCAAGGGTGTGAAAGTTATCTTGATTCTTAAATTCATGAAAAGTCTTTTTCTAACTTTTTTATTCATGGTAAAATGTTTTCGTCAAGTTGAACCAAGAAAACTTCTAGCAATATCGAGCGGTGATCTGTGATTTATTGAAGGAACTGAAAGAGAAAATACTCGTTTTACAATGTTTTTTATTTGATAATTTCATGAATTTTTATGTGTGCCTTAAATATTTTTTATTTATTGAAAAATCCGTCCTTAAAGATTGGGTAACATGAGTTTTAAGCGAATTCAAATAGTACCTCAATGAAATGCATGCAGGTACAAAGGAAAGAATCTGTATTTCATTTCGACATCTTGTTATCCCCAATTTGTTAATAGTGTAGGTAGTTTTGTACTTTTCTATTTCTGATAATGCCTTTGGTTATTTTGATTTTATTTATTTTAGCATTTATATCAATTATTTTATTAGTAATAAAAAAAAATGTTTCATCAGCTATTCTTTTTATTTAAATGAAAATGACTCGCACCCCATGCAGTAACTATGTCTGCTCTTTATTTTCGAGTATACATGGTGTCCCAAATGAAATAGCGGAAATTTCATGGATCAGTTCTTCAGACCAAAATTTTTAGAAACTTATGGACTGTTTTTAGACTTTTAATTATCCTCCTGCCCCTCTGTATAAAAGTGCCCACAGCTCTGAAACGATTAACCCAAACCATCAGGGATATAACTTGTTGATTCCTAGCAATTTTTATTTATTCATTAATCATTTAAAATGGCTGGACACTTTACCATCTTCTTTAAGGCTAAACTTGTGCCAGAGGCAAATCAAATGAATGATTATTAAAAAATTTATTATATATTATTTACAAAATTATGTACAAAAATGGTCAAGTAAATTCAGTTTTTAAAATAAATAATGTAAAATTGATTACATGACACCCCAAACTTCTTCAAATGCAGAGCATACTTTAGCACAGGTTAGGGCTGCAGATAGAGGATAATTTGATATTGAGATTGTGTCTTCACCATAATCAACTTTGACCTGTCACAAGAAGAAAAACAAACAAAAAGTAAATTAGATAATTAGAGGCAGAAGCATAGTTGTATATTGGAACTTTATGCATGATTATGGACTAAAGTGAAATGACAGAATGATCACAAGAGAAGGTCTTGAAAATAATCTTTTAACCCATTTTATTTTGTGTACATATATTGTTTCAAGATGAAGTGTTCTTTGAACTTAAGCCAACAAGGCTTTCTTACGCAATTGCAGAAGTTGTATCATCTGCCCTTGAATCTGGACTTCTTGAGAAAACTAATTTTCTCAAATTATGAGGAGCATGATTTTTAGCACCCATATGTACTCAAATTTTTTACGTAGCCCCCCCCCCCCNCCAAAGAAGGAGGGTCATAACTTTTAAATGGTTAAAAATATTAATCTCAAATTTTCCTTAAATCAAAGGTCGTTAATCCACTTTATTTTTGGTACATAATTTTTGGTGGGTTGGTTAATTTTTCACAGGTGAATGGGCTAACTCGGATTACACATGTATGAACCCTCCAAATTGTACCTAGTTCTTTCCCTGATGGTTAAAATAAGACCAAAATCATCTAGGGGAAACAATTTGTCCCAAAGTTATGATTTCTTGTGCAGCATTCAGGGGTAAAGGAGTTTTCACTACCACCATGAGCACCCCTCTCTTCTGTTCATGCTACGCGATGTAAACTAATACATCTCAATTATTAAGATTATTTAACTTGTCAAATAGTTTTAACTAAAACTAGACAACATGTTCCTCAAACATTTGGTGGAGCTGAGATTATAAGTTACGGATACACAGATGTATCAAACTACAGTTTGATATTTAGCTGTCTCAGGCAATGGCAAATTAAGCTATTCCCATTGGGTCAAAAATCGTAGCTATATGATAAATAGGCTGTTAAATGCCTGTTAGAAGAAGAGTAAGGAAGAAAAGGAGTTTATTTGAACTAACCTGACCATGAGCCATGGCACCAACTACAATTGCTAACGGCTCGTTCTTGGGAACAATGTCCCTTGGATTTACTACTTTATTGGCAGAATAAGAGGTCAAAATTTTCTTGCAACCCACAGGCAAGTGGTCGGTTATTGGGTTTTTGATGACTTTCAACAACTTCAGTGACCCATCTGCTGTTCTAACATAGAATTTGTGTAGTAACTGGACTGTAAATCAGAAAAAAAGAGGCTTATCAAAAAGTTGCACTTACAAAAATTGAGAGATTGGAGTAGAAAAGGACTCATGGATTTTACGATCCATGCGGAAACTTTGTACATACCTTTTGTTTCTGCTAAAGTGTTTGTTTTTCTAATTCTCTATTTTAACAGTTCAAGAGTTGCCTCTGACTTGTCAGGTCCATAAAAATTCTCCAACAAAAAAATTGATCCCCTTTTCATTTAGAAATAATGGATTACTCATCAATGTTTGAATCTTGCCAAAAAATTATGGAGCCATCTTGGCCGGCTCTGTCAGTATTTAGAGCTATCAGAGTTTCTGAGCTTGAGAGAATGAGCTATTGAAGTAAATATCAGTTTTGTGGGCCAAGCAACCAAACAGACAGAGAAAGACAAATGATAAATTTGGCTAAGACAATTGTTAAGTTTTATCTTCAGTGAAGGTCCTTAACAGCTACTGCCTGGAAACAGGTATTAACACAAATCAATCGATAGAGGTCTGAAATGATTAGAAATGTTTCTGCTGACACCAAACAGCCTAGTTTGGCAGTAGCACAGCTATGATCGCGGTGCAAAATCTAACATTGATTCAGTTCAAAAATGTTTGTAACCTTACCCATCAAGCCTGCAAATCTCTTGTATGTCCGTGGAATTCTTGTTTGTGGATTTATCTCGATCAAAACATTTTTCTCTGTGTGAACAAAGACCTGAGGACAAAATGGAAAAAATAGAGTTTTAAAAATTTATGAGGTCATTGCCAATCAAGAAACGATGACTTTTCTCCTCAGTCCCTATAGAGTCGCAGTTGTTGCTCCTCCATTAAAAAGTCTATCATGAGGGTGAAATGTTGGTTTTCCCAACGCTATTGAACAGTTCTCTGAAAAAAGATTAGCAATAAGAAGACTCTTGCTGATAGCTATCAGAGTTTTCTGAGCTGGAGAAAATGAGCCATTGAAATAATTATCAGTTTTATGGGCCAAGCAACCCAACAGACAGAGAAAGACAAAACAACGATGCTTCCTCTCGGGTCTCGGAACTCATGCAGCTCTGTATTTGGAATCAACCAGAACAATACCTCCCTGACAAGGAGTCACTTGAGCCCCCTGATCTATGAGAGCTTTATGCCTGATACAGGTTTTTCCTTTTGTTTCATAATGGAGGACTTTCAAATTTGTGCTAGAACTTAGTCACTTAAAACTGAAATGAAGTTTCACAAACTGGCTTTTAAAAAGAATGAAAGCTTCAAGACAAAGGGGTCCTTACAGATTAAGACTGAATTTTGTACATTGAAGATGGTCAAATTTGATAATTATCAAATTCAACAAAAGGATCTTTGAATTTGATCGCTGAAGTAAATACTTCATAAAAATTTTTGTTACATACCTGAAGAAGGCCTGCTCGATTCAGAGGACTGTCAAGTAACATGAGTAAACACTGGTGAAGGATATCTGGTCTGCATGATTTAGGATCCCTCTTCTCCTTCTTGATAATACCTTCACTATCACAGTCTAGGAGTTGAAAACTGTTTCCAACCTGAAACAGACATATAATTAACATTCATTACAGTCATTCGCTGAAGAAACATGAAAACCAACCAAGTACATTGACAGATAATTAAGATAAGCTTACTGCTGGAATATCATAAACAGACGATCAAATGAAGTTCTACGCATGTTAGTAGCTCAACGCTGCCTGAGAAACTGGAGAAGAAAAAAAATCAATATGATTGCTAAATTTGATGAAGTGGATATATTTCTTTCCGTCAAATGGCCTACTATACAACAGTGAATGGCAAAGAGACTTGTTTACAGGGACGTCCAGGTGGTAATAGGTATGCATAAATAAACATTTCAAAAGCAATATTTTCTCCATCTAAGTTCGCTACCAGTGGCGAAGTAGGCTTTAGGAATCATGTACCTTCCTTCCATGAATACAAATTACAAACCAACTTACATAAATTCAATGCATGATAATTAATACGCTATCTGATCCTAACAGGTTGCTGCTGGAAGTAGAAACGGCGGCAACTTACCAATACAACCAGGGCATGAACTTTTACGGCACACAACTAAAGGAGGATATTATAATATTCTTGTGATGTCTGTGAAAAGTTGCAAAGCTTGACCACTTTGTATTCTCATTAGAATGAAAGCATTGAAAAGAAAAATTACCTTCACAGTTTCTAGTTGCGCATTCTCCAGGATGACGATCAAGCGCTTCTCATCATTAAGACTTGCTTTCTTGGCATCGGAGAGATCATATTCTCCATCAAGCACAGTTAATCGCTTCCTCTTACCCATTATTAGAGCAGTATGAAAAGCAGTTTTAAGATTTGAAAGGAGAAGGGTGAAAATTCAAATAAAATAGCCGTCAAAATTACACATGACAATTCAAGTTCAATACCACAACCACATGGCATGTGAAAATGTAAATATAACCTCAAAAATTCCTCATGACGTCATTTGTTTACCATTTTTCTCATCATTATAAATTGCAGTCCGCACAGTCACGAATTTCATAATGTTTTTTAGCAATCAATTTTTAAGGAATCAGAAATTATAAGTTTTTTCAAAGCAAGAGCCCGAGCTTTTCATAGTTTCCTTCAAGTTTTAAGAGTTTAAGTTGACTACATACAGATTTCAACACACTACACCATGACTGAAATCACGGAGGAGGATTGGTTTATTCCTGAAAAGAAGTATGAATGTAAGTTTCGACACAAAATTTTATTGCCTCTAAGTCATGTTAACATTTTTTCTACTCAACTTTCCACTCATTACCTCGCCAGTTTGTGAATCATAGAATTAGAAGGCGATTCAGCCTTACATCAGGTAAATGACCATAATAACACGCAGTTTGTTCGAGGCATACTGAGAACTTTTTGGTAACTATATTTAAAGAAAAAAGCTTTTATCTGTACACTCATCGAATCCTTTGTTGATTTTGAAACCCGATTAGCAGCCCATGTACCGAAGTACACTCGAGAAGGAGTCCTCATTCTAATGCTCTATGCAGCTTGTTTGCTTCGGCCAGAAGATACAGTCTTCTACACTTCTGCAGCCTGTTATTCATGTTCTGTTGATTACTTTCCAAGCCCAGTACACATCATCTAACTGTATATCCACTAGATTTGAATGATGTAAAATTTCCCATAATGGACCATTAGACAAGGTACGAAGCATTCTGATTCTTGTGTCTTACCTTAAATTTAGTGTAGAACACGATTTTTACAAAAAAAATTACTGAAACCAACTCCTACCAAAGATATTAATGTCTTATTTTACATTAGTTTCGGGAATTTTGACCTGCCAGCTCACTAGAAACTCGAAGCTCTATGCGAGTCAAATCGCACTCTACAACGGTTTCGGCGGGCTTCTCAATCGAGCAATGTACATTTCCCACCTTGTTATGTTCAAGCTATAAAGAATTTGTTATAGCTGAACCAAAGCGTCAAGATTGAGGGTGCCAGAATTTTATATTGCAGAGACCGTCAGGGTAATGTTTAGCGCGCGATGTGACGCTCGTAGACCATTGTGTTTTCTCGAGTGGGAGGTTTGGATTCACGCATCAAGAAACATTAAGTATCTTGGTCAGGAGTTAATTTAAGTACTTTTCGTTGGGCGAATTTTGTTGTACATGAAATTTTGGATAAGAATCATTTATCAGAATACTCAATTGAGTACCTTGTCTGGTGGTCTGGTGCAGATGCCGTAGTCATCAACATTTTGTCTATGTCCGCTTCTAGCCTGTATAGTGGCAGCTTATCTGAGCCCATTGATACTTTTACAGTTAGATGGCAAGTCGGATAAAATGCTGTCCATTTAAATCTGTCTTCTTCTCTTTGTCTGAGCTTGATTTTCTTGTAACTACATAACACAGTTCAACTTCTTGTCCATTATAATTGGGGAAAAAGTTGGTAGCTTTAGCATCACGAAGCCATCAATTTTGAAGCGGTTCAGTGGTTAATGAAGAATTTTATATCCAAGTTAATTTCAAAAGTTTAAAGAATTTATACTTACTATGTGCTTAATTTCCTGTTTTTTCAGATTTGGACCACACGGCAGATGTGCAGTGAGTATTTTCCCCTCCTTTGTCTGCTTTCACAACATGTAGAACTTACGGTAGATGAACTGGAAATAGTTAACTTTTTACTATCATGAGCAGTGGACAGCCTTATGTATCTGCGGAAGGCAGCATCATCCCTGTATTCTAGCTGGACAATTTTTTTCAATCTGACCAATGGTAGATGTAGATCATGTAGTAGCTGTTGGAATTTCAGGAATTTCTCCAGGAAATTGAAAAATATTGATGATGTATAGCCAAAATTTTTCGGAAGATTTATTTCATTGCTACTTACCTATTTCAATGCAATCAATGGTTTGAAAGTCCAAGAAAAATTTGAGCCCCTGGTTCAGCAGGTCATCAAGCATATTATATCAAAAAATAAAAAAATTTAGCTGAAGCTAATTTCTTTCGTTCAAAGTTATGAACTTACAGGCGCCATTGTGTTGAATGCCCCCCAAAAATCGACCAAGGCCCCCTCAAAAATGAAGGCAAATATGTAAATGTTTTTACAAAAATTTAGAGATCAGGAATATTGAGATTGCAACAATTTTAAGGGCTACATTTAACCAGGGTTTCCATTTTTCAGGGGGCCTCAGTCGATTTTTGGGGGGCATTCAACACAATGGCGCCTGTAAGTTCATAACTTTGAAGGAAAGAAATTAGCTTCAGCTAAATTTTTTTATTTTTTGATATAATATGCTTGATGACATGCTGAACCAGGGGTTCAAATTTTTTCTCCACTTTGAATTTTCAAAGTTACCAGTGGTTGAATTCAAAACTCTTCCCAACTCATTTTTTTCCAAAATGCAACTTGGTGCGTTTCTATTAAACTCAGTGCATCTGTGCTAAGTAAGTACTTCCTTTTGCGTTTGGGTTATCAATCAGGTTTCCACTTCAATTCAGAGTTTTCCAAGTAGACCGGATGGGGAAAAGTACCGGGAATATTATCCTGTTTATTATTTTTCCTGTCAATTTCTTTGTTCAAATCTAAAAACATATTCAGCATTTTTGCTTAACGAGTCGAGTCTCAGTACTCTTTTTCTTTGCTTGCAAATTCACCTTAATTGGCACGTACCTCAGAATTCAAACCTTCTAACTTCATTTTGCACATTGAACTTCATATGTTTTTACCTTGTGCCTCTGATTTTCTGTAGCCTTCCTCATAATTCCCTTCAAAGGAATTAATTTAGGTTTGTTACCCACACTGCCTCCCGAACCAGAGTTGTGGTACCCACTTTGTTTGAGGCCCTGTGAATATCAATTGTTTTTACCTAACACACCAGTGTAAATGATAAGTAATGGGCTTTAATATTTTTTAAAATCCTTTAATTTTCATAATCTTCTAGATTGCATGCATGGGGAGATACGCTGGAAGAAGCTTTTGAACAAGTTGCCACAGCTATGTTTGGTTACATGACAGAGCTAGAGTACGTAGAAATGAAGGAAGCACATGATATTGAAGCTGAAGGCCATGACATGCTTTCTCTCCTCTTTCACTTTTTAGACGAGCTGCTCTTTCTTTTCTGTGCAGAGCCAAACATCATCGCTAGAGTAAGTATATTAATTAAGTATCCGACTATGTCGTAAGTATATTAATTCTATATGTTTTCAGCATCTTTGGTCTGTTTAACAAGTTACCCAACAAGTATATGAACCCATTTCACCTATAAATCCACCTTAGTCTTTTCTTCTGGTATTGTTTTCTTCAATGACACCATCTTGACCACCAGTTTGTCTTGTTGTAAATCATTTGTTGCTACTCTGCTGAGAAATACTTGACCTAGTAATCTGGAGGAATAATTTTGAAAAATGTATGTTGATATTGCCAGTATGAAAAATAATTAAATTTTTTTATAGAGAAGTCCTCAATGAAAAGTAATAGTATTCGTTAAAAGTTAGAGTAATTTTGCTAATGCTTTGTAGCGATTTTTATTCATATGTATAACACTAACATTGCAAGATTCNTCGTTTTTGAAGCGGGAAGCTCAAAAAACCGCAAATTTCTTACGCAGTTTGTGAAGTTATGAGTGCATTTCAGAGTTTGCCGATGCGCTCATCGTGATTTTTGAGGCATTATCTATAAGAAACAACTCTTAGTTTTGCTCTAGCAAAAGTTTGCAACAGGCCCATTTTGCTAATGCTTTGTAGCGATTTTTATTCATATGTATAACACTAACATTGCAAGATTCAGTCTTTAAGCAATTAATCACGACACAAGGTGAGATTTCAAGCATTACAGCACCTTTTTTTTCAACAGAGTTTAGTGCAGGACACGTTGAAAATATCAAGAAAATTCAAAATTAACTTGCAAGTAAGAAATAAATGAGTATAGTTTTCATTACAAACAATGTTCAAATTTCGCAGCAAGAAACCATAATCCACACAGGCTTCATTGCACAAGCCATCAGTTTTACAAAAAACTAAAACTTGGTTTCTCAAACTTTTCCTTCCTCTTTTGATACGATGTATCTTTAATTTTGTCAAAGAGATGTTCATACTCAAGAAAATTCTTCCAATGATAAAGATACCAAAATACATTTTGTGCTTGATTTGACACGAGTAGACTCCGTTTTGTTTTGTTTCATCTCATTTTTATTTGTTTCAGAAAGTTAAGGTTCTGGAGTTTGATAAAACTGATTTCAAGATAAAAGCAAGGGCTTTTGGTGAGCCATTTGAAATAGGCAAACATCCTCAAGGAACTGAAGTCAAAGCAATCACGTACTCAAACATGCAAGTCCATGAAAAAGAGGACAAAAGTGAGGTTTTTGTTATTATCGACATTTGATAGGAGTCACCTAATTATCTACATCGATATTGGAAGTGTGAAGCAAGCAGCTTTCGAAGTAAGTCTTTAACTCAGCAGTTGAATGTAGTTCGTAGACCCTCGTTTAGGGTAGAGCGATTTTTAAAGGCATAGCTGGAATTTTTTCTCGGGGAAATTTATTCTTATTAAGTAAAGTTTACCTACATTCAATTTTGTCAGTTTTTCCACATCCATCATTCTTTAGGCAGGAATGACCATTTTCAGAGGAAAGAGAGAAAGATTCTCTTGTGCCTGTGGAATTGGAAAGTTGGGTTGTTTGGTTCCGCATTTTTCACTTCAGAAAAATAAAGATAAAACAGGATGAAAATAATTTTTCAATATTCTTTTTTTTAAAGATTTTTACAAGTAAATTTCTAACTTTTTCTTAGCTTCTCAAGAATGCTGGATTGGGCATCAATATGCGTTGTAAGCGGCATACCTAGTGCTCAAGTTCAAGCTTTCCTGATCAAGTGCTAGGGTGTAGTCAGAACCATTCAATAATTTAACAATACAAGACAAAAAATATAGCATAATTTTCTGACTACGCTAAATATGGTTTTTTCCAATATTGCTGAGGCTACTTAACAAAATAGGTACACTTACTTAAAGAAGTTCAGAAATTTAAAGTCATCTGAACCATTGATAATTTAAGCAGATGCAGAAATTCTCAGCAGGACTTAAAATCCTAGGTCCAAATTTTGCTGGCTAAGGTTGACTGCAAGTTGCAAAACTTAATCTGTAAAATTGATTATAAATTGGGAAAATTGAAGGTACTCTAAGCTGGAGCTGTACGAAAGTTGAGTTTTTTTACAGCAGGTTCTTCGACGAGGCAAGCCATTAATTAGCGGTTTAATAAAAAGTCAACATTCTTGCCTCAACTTGCGGTTGACAGCTAACCTGCCAACAACATTCTAGCCCTGATTGCCACTTTATTTAAGAGTTCCTAGTTGCAGCCCAAATCAGTTTCACTATCACTATTTGTCAATATGAGGAAAAAAATTAATAAAAACTGTAACTTCAGTATTTTTGCAACAAACTTTATTCCAATAACATCTATTTACATAAAATAAATACATCACCGTTTTACCAATTTATTTTTGATTAATGTATTTGATAATATTCACAGCCTTTTGTCTTTTCAAGTATTGGTTCATGTGATTGCAAATGCTATCCTAGCAACAAAAGGAAGAGTCACGTAATGGAGTGAAGAATTTTTGCAGCAGCCTGTTAATAAATATCTTCAACAGCCTCAGTTCAGCTCTTATTAATTTCTTTTTGCTGGTCTGCCTGAAAAAAAGAAGAATATAATTATTATTTCACTTTACCCTTGCCCCATCTTTACTGACCTCATTACCAACTTAGATTTATTAATAGTTATTTTATACGTTTTCTGTTAGTTCTTCAGAGCTCAATGAACTTTTAAAGTAGAACCTGCTAAGTGCCCGTCTGGTGAGAAGCAGGGCTGAAAAGTGAATTTCTCGGCCCTTGTAGTATACACGCTAAACAGTAGTGTCGAGCGTGGATACTACACCCTTTTATATGCATTTTCGAATTAAGATATGGGACTGAGACTATGTCTGTGAGGACACTACAATGCACACTGCCATCATTTAGAGGATTTTATTATTTTCGTAGGTCCTCTCTTCCTAAACTGAGAGGAAACGATAGCTCTCCTCAATCAGAAATAAGGTGTTGCAAAATTTCTACCATAAACTGCATGGAAATTACCAAAAAATTCGCTTTTCAGCCCTGTTTTTCTCGCAATTGGCACATAGAAAGTTCAATGCTAAATACTCATCGTGACACATCATTTAAATGTTTTCATTCATTTTCATTCTATCTTTTCTCTCTCGGAAGATGGCAGTGTCAGGTTTTAAATTGGAATATTAAAAGACTTATCTAAGCTAATGGATTATATTAAAAATGATTTTTCATTAGTCTCACTGAAATTAACGCCTGTTAAATTTTTAAACTTGTTTGAGATAACTTTGTGGCATAAGAGCCACATTAAATTTTGTCAGTTTCCTTGGCAATCTTTTCAGTACCTGCCATTAACAAAAACTGAGATACTACTTACTCTTTTCAGAAAAAATTCTCGTAGTTCTTTTGAATAAACATCCTTGCGGTATCTGGTAATGAAGGCAGCTTCATATAAATTCTTCCTGCACTCTATTACGTACTCCACTTCTTGTCTGAAACAGAATATAATTAGCATATGATAACCTTTTTTTTCAATTTAATTTTCGGTAAAGAGGAATAATTTTCCTTCATGCACTCAAAAAAAAGGCTTACTCCTACCTCTCTACCTGCTCTTCTGTATTCAATTCCACATTATCTTTTTCTTCTTCTTTATTGCTTTGTTAATTGAAGTTTCTTTTTATTTAAAAAAAAAAAAAAAAAANAAAAAAAAAAAAAAAAAAAAAAAAAAAAAAAAAAAAAAAAAAAAAAAAAAAAAAAAAACCTAAACTTTAAGTGGCAGTTTGCAGCATCATTTTTCGAGAGGAGAAAACGTTTTAATCCAACTTACAAATTATGTTTTGATTTCAGGAACTGCATTGAACATTAAATCTTGTGAAAGTTTGTACTTGCCCTAAGAGTTGCTCCATAATATTTGACTTTTCAACGCAACTGATGGCTGCACAATGAGTTCCATACAGATACGTATTGAAATATCTCAAGTTGAGAGTTCTAAACTAAGTATTAGCTTCATCTCCAATTAAACGTCGACTTGATAGGAAATTACCAAAGTCCAGGTCAGTTAATCTGTTCATCTTGTGATGGTAAATTTTACGCTTTTTTTTTCTTTTCTTTCAGTGTGTTAACTGGAAACATAATTATATTTTTTGTGAGATTCTAACCACAAGTAATTGGTTGCAGTTTTGAAGCATTCAACTCATTCCTAATTGATTCATTTTCATAGGCAGTAGCAAGAACTTTTTTACACTTAGGTATTTTTCGTAACATTTCACCCTGTTGTTTGTCGTATGTAAAGCTGCATAGAGTGAAACATTATCATCAAAAAAAACATTTTGCTGGCTTAAGATTAGATTCTGAGTTCCAAAAAATTCCACAAAAAAATGTAGCACCTTTACTCAATTTAAACATAATCCAGAATCACAACCTCTTCCAGGGTATATTATGTTTCCTCTCTGAATAATCAATAGCTAAAGTTCCTAGATGCTCAAAACTCCCATCTACGATGAGGATTTGGCTTGTCACTTAGCAGAAACTTCAGTAGTTCGTAGATGACTTAAGCTCTAATCAAATGGATGAAAAAAGAAGAACTCAAAAAAGTGGCTGAATTTTATCTTCGGGATCTAAATTATTTCTTTATAAAGAAATTGTTGAGGTCCCGAAAGGTCATTTTCACATTTAGTTTCTATGAGAACTCCATTAGTTTTGGTTTCTTTTATGGTTTTAATTGAACAGAAGACTAATTCGATCTTGATCTCTAAGTATTCGATTATGTCTAAAATAATCTCTTGTCATTCGATCAGGATTATTTGCTCTTGAATTTTTTGTCCGTTTTATTCAGGTTTTTATTTTTTCTGCTCTGTTAACTCTTTATTATACAGAAGTTCAAATTAATATAATGGTTTTACACAAATTTTATTTCAGCTGCAATGACTATTGCTAACTGTAAGATAACTAACTGTAGTCATAAATGAAATGTTAGTGCTATACACTCATAAGCATATTATAGCAACTTATTTTCCTTTTTTTTTCAGGAATGTACCCAAATGGTGGTGTCACACGTCCCAAGAACACTGGCAACAGTCATATTACCAATTGTTATCATCAATCATTGTCTGAAATTATTTTTTATTTTTTCTACACAAAATAATATTTAATTTAAAATCCTAATTTGGACTGAACCACTTTATTTTAATTTATTTTTCCTCTGGCTTACAACTGGGGTTTGCAGTTCATTTTTTCTGTAATTTCATCTTTAATAAAAAAATTCCACTATTAAAAGGTTTTAATTTTTCATCCACGGTAAAATTTAGCATTTAAAATTTAAGTAGAATTCGACAATCCGTGCAAAAAGGTATCAGACTCCAAAAAATTATTTCTTGTGAGAGACTTGTGTAGAGTTATGTCAGAAAATCAGAATTTGAGTATCACCAGAAAACTCAAGTGTCCCACAAAATAAATTGATAAACGTCTCGATGAAAGTAAAACTGCATTGTAATCAAACACCTATTTGAACATGGCAAATTAGATAGTTTTGAACATCTTTCTTTCAGAAGTGTGTTACTTAAACTACAAACTTTAAGCTGTTCTATCTCTGGATTATTTTGACATTTTTGGGCGGTTTTAGCATCAAAATATTTACAAAAAACCCCTCTAAGCTGTGATACCAATATTATCAATTTTAAATTTGTCAGCTCTAAGCTCCTGTTTTCTACATGGTGATGGTCACAATTAAAAAAATACATACTAAATACCTTCTATGGATAATTTATTTTACAACTTAGTTCCAAAAATGAAATCTGTAACCAATCTAAGCTACTCCTCCTGATGAACTCCCTACACTGGTGAGTGCGAGATTGTGAAAAATGAATTCAAAATAATTGTAAATTACTTATTTCTCTACCTTTCATGACCCTGCTCTTTAAGATTGCTGGATACAGCTCAGAATCAAGTTATACCTACATTTGTAAAATAAAAAAACGAAACAAAAATGTCACAAATAAATATGTCTTTCATTAGGCCTTCAGTCACGAACAGAAGTACCTAGCAAAGAAACTGATCACTTACATGTAAAAATTAGGTTTGCTTGTTTACAATTGAGGTAGTCAGCCGTACGAATGGAAGCAATATCGCCTCAAAACAAGACAGACAATGAGTATCGATGAAATCAATGAACAGACCAAGAAAACCATCCAACCCCAGTCTGTGTAGTCAGCTACTTGCATTGAAAACCATTCTAAAAACAAAAAAAAACTAAGCATAAGCAAAATACTTTGAAATCTTTAATTTTTGCACATATTACACCACCCTGCCAAGGAAAAGCACAGTATCAGTTAAACGTCTGTTTTTAGAAAAAGTTTTTTTTGGCACAGGCTCAATTCCATGGCATCTCATGGACCGGTCCCATATTTGTCTTCACTTTTCACTTATTTATAATTCTATTTTTACACAATTATCTTCCTCAAAATGATTAGATTAAGATTTAAAATAAAATAATGTATGGGAACAGCCTATTTTATATATGCTTACTGATATACTTACTGTGCTCTATCATAGCAGCACAACAACGTTTTTGTGTAGAAATAGCGAAAGACGATTTTCATACTTATTTGCGAGTTAACAAAGAAAAACATGTTCAGCTGAGAGCAGTGGTTTTTGAAAAAATTGGTTTTCCAAAAAATTGGTAGACCTAGGTGGTATAAAACATCTGAGGTCATTTTGAGATTCAGTTGTAAAAAGTACATTGAATAAACCTGGCACAATAGGCGTTTGCCAACACTTAGGGCATTCACACTGCGATGGTGCATATAGAGACAAACCCAGATTTGAAAGAAATGCATTTGAGAGTTCAAAAAGCTATATCTCCTAAGTTTTTCAACTATACTTCAAAAACTAAAAAAACCTGAGAAATTGAGGAATTTTTAACGTACCCTCTTCTCGAAGTGTTGTGATGAGCTGGATAGTTTGGTCCCCGCTGTTGCTTATTGTACACATATAGTTGCCAAAATCACTTCGGTGAACTGATGAGATCTCCAAATACTTGCCAATTATTTGACCATCCTCTCTACAAAAGTAACCAAAAAATTCGTCGGTTAAAGAAAATAATCAAAATAAAACAAAGCAAATGGTTGTGATCGTAATTTAGAGACATGGCTATTTTTGACATTTCCTGTTTATTTGAAACGGAGGTTTTAAAGATTTGAGCCCTCAATATATTTTAAGATAAAGGAACACATCCCTTTCCCAGGTAGTCACATGTTGCAAGGGGCCGTATTTACCTACTTGCCGCCCATGGGCCGCCTGTATTTTGCCATCCCCTTCTTATTCGTTTTGAAACATCGATACGAACCATCAAAAGAACGTGCCACAGGAGGAGGGGTGCATAGGTAAGACGCGTTTACTCTTGTTAGGCACATTTTCTGTGAAAGCCCTGTCAACAATAGCAAAATTTCACGGAACTTTGCGCGAAAGTCAAGTTCCGTAAACCTATCTCTGTGTGGACAAGGCCTTTCATTTATAAGAAATGAACGAAAAAATTATGGAAGAATAAACTTATTAATGGTTTAATAAGTTTAATTTCTGCCACCGCGCCGACCGCACTGTGCTTGGCGCATTGCGTGAAGTGTCAGTCTTGTAGCCGCTATGCGAATGCGATTCACGCCGACCGCTGCTGTCCGCACCGTTTTTGACGCAATGCGTGAAGTATTCATGCAGTCTTGTAGGCGCTACGCGTTTCACGCCAACCGCTGCTGACCGCACAGTGCGGTACGGTACGTCGAACGTAGTGCGGACCGCACTACGTGAAGTATTCATGGAGTCTTGTGGGCGCTCACATGTTTCATGCTGACCGGCGGGCCGAGGGCTTCTCCTTTTCATCTCAAGTCCTCGTCATCATTGCTCCCTGCGCCGCGCCGCGCCGCTCTAGGCCGAATCGCGCGTTTGGTTTCTCTCTCGACCAGACTAATGAAACGTGCTATCTCTTGTATCACCGAAAGACGAACAATTTGGAAATTACTATAGTTTAACTCCCAGGAAATGAGAGATTTTGTCGCCTTTTCTCGTTTGCAATTTCTTCTCTGAATCAGATTTTTCTTTTTTGATACCAACATTTGAAAATTGTAAAATTTGCCACCCCCCCCCCCCCGGT